GCCACTGATCAACCCAGGGTCTGCGTATGCTGTCCCCAGCACAGCAACACTCGCTGCCACACTGAATCAGGGTATAGAAGTCTCCATACCAGTACTGTGGGTCACTTCTCAGTATGACTGAAAACGGCAATTCAGGGATTTCTCAGGAGAAACTCTCAGGAAAGGAGTTGCAAAACAAAGTCCACTAGAGACAAGTAAATTGAAAAACAAAAACAAAAACCACAATTGGCCCGCTGTGGATGTAATCATTTCCAAACAGAAATAAGAAATTCTGTGGGTCTGAAAAAGCGCTGCCAAGTTATATTCCAGAATTCCTGGTTCTACAGCAAGTGAAATAGTGTTTGTATGGTCCCAATATTAAAACAGAAAACAGCACACCGTGTTTTCTGAGGAATGACGGAAATAAGAAAGATACATTACATTAATTCTAAGGAGTATGTTAATCTGAGGATTTCCATCTGACGAGCACGCAGGAGGAACTTTAGAAGCAGAGTAAGCAGGCTGGGCTTGGTCGTCCTCTGCAGTGTGAAGGACAACATGGGACCACAGGACTGCTCAGAGTGTGAACATTGGAGCCATGCAGTCACCATGGATGGAGAAGAGAACGCAACATGGCTTGGGGAAGTTGGGCAGAGCTGTCATTCAATTCTAAATCTGTACTTCAGAGTGAATGAGCTGAGATCACTAGTCAAACTGATTCTACATATTAAAATATTAAAACCGAATGGTAAAAGTACTGGAGTTATGGTGTTGGAGAAGAATATTAAATATACCATGGACTTCCTGAAGAACAAACAAATCTGTTTTGAAAGAAGTACAACCAGAATGCTTCTTCAAAACCAAGATGGCAAGACTTCATCTCTCATAATTTGGACGTATTACCAGGCAGGATCAGTCTCTGGAGAAGGACATTATGCATAGTGAAGTGGTGGTGGTGGTTATGTGCCGTGGAGTCGGTTCCGACTCATAGCGACCCTGCACAGGGTTTCCAAGGCTGTAAGTCTTTACGGGAGCAGAAAGCCTCATCTTTCTCCCGTGGAACACCTGGTAGTTTTGAACTACTGACCTTGCAGTTCACAGCCCTACTCATAACCACTATGCTACCAGAGCTCCTTCGTAGTAAAGTAGACAGTCAGAATAAAAGAAGACCCCCAAGGAGATGGACTTACACAGTGCCAACAGCAATGGACCCAAGCCTACCAGCAATTGTGAGGATGGGGCAGGACCAGAAAGTGTGTCTCATTCTGTTTTACACACGATTGTTATGAGTCGGAATCAACTCAGTTGCACCTAACAACAACAACAATCTGTGAGAGTTAAGGTTTCATGTCAAGTTCACAGGGCCAGAATTCCAAGTGGTTCACAGTTGAGATGTAGTTATCTCCATGATGAGTCCTAAAACAGTATGATTAATTCTACAATGAGGTCTACCATGAGCAACCTCAAGTGTATGGTCTGCTTCTAGTATAGTAAACACTCAGGCAAGGCAAGCCTGAGAGCAGGCTGGGTCTAGATCTTGCATCTGGCTCATCCTCTGACCTCCAGTTCATTGAACTTAAGCCAGTGACCTTACTCTGTTGCCTGCCTGCCTGCCAGACCTGATGTGATGGTTACTGTTCTGTGTCACCTGGACTAAGCCAGGGTTTCCAGAGGTATCATAGTTGGGATGGGCCTATTTCCATGGTGATGAAATCTAATACAGGCATAGTTAACTCTATGATGAGTGGCTATGAGCAGCCAATCAATTAAAGAGATGCTTCCTTGAGGGTGTGGCCTGCTCCCAATATATTGGATGTGTGGGACTCTCTTTTGTCAGCTGGGAACCTGGGACTCTACAATTGTAAGATAGAAAACTTCTCTTCTCTAGAGGATCCAACCTAGGACACTATCCAAGTTGAGTGCTAGTAATAAAATCATTGAGACAAGCACCCCTCACAGACCCCTCTAATTGATAGTCATCATGCATGTACTTCCACACCAAGAGCGTAAAATATAGAACCATGCCAAAAAGGTTCACCATTCAAGGCACTTTCCTTATAATGCACTTCAGGACTGTTGATTGACATTGCTGTTAATTTTTACAGCAAGGAAATGCAATTCTTTGTCATTACAACCTTTGAGGAATAAATTAAGGCTACTATTATGAATGGAAATATCAGCTGAGCAGTGCTCTGAAGTCATGAGCGGGGGGCATAGTGCTCAGATATGGCAGGTCCATACTGCCAAGGTTCTCATACCTCTTGAGAGAAAAGCTCCCAAGAAAAATTAAGATACAACATAATGAAATGGCAAACTGTTGGCATCATGGACCAAAAGAATGAACTGCGATGACTGGATGCCCCTTAATGTTTCAAGAGTCTTTAGGAACAACAGTAAATAGGCCAAGAGGAATCAGAGACCCAGAGAAGAGGCTCACTGGTTGTTGAAGGTTCTGCCTCAAGTTCACAGCGATGCCTAGCACACTGCAAATACACTCTCATTTTTCAGAGGTGTGGCTGTATGGGTGAGTGAGTTGGAGAAAGACCTCATGCTAGCTGAGAAGCTACGTATGAGCACTGATTCTTCAGGGGACCAGGAAGATCTCCCACCTTGAATATTACTTTGACTACTTACTTTATAAGTAGTAAGATTTGGCAAAAAATGAAGCACAATTTTAAGATCTTAGAAACCAAAGTGTGGACCTGCTCTGATAAACCAACAGGTAGTTTCTGTAGGTTGCTGAGCAGGATAAGGACACTTAGAAATATACAAATAGTTCCAGACTTTCAACAGGGTTGTAAACTGACTGTGTCGTAAGGGTTTCATTCTGATGACTGTCGTAAGTCGGTTCTGATGTAAGTTAAATACCTCATTTCAAATTAACAACAGATGCTTCTTAAGGCATAAAACACTGAATAAGATCACCCTACAGGCCTGGTGTGGCACTGCAAGATAAGCACTGGACTGCTTACTGCAAAGCTGGAGGTTCAAACCCACCAGACGCTCCTTGGAAGCCCTATACAGGGTCACTATGATTTGGAACTAACCCAATGGCACTTAACAACAACAACAACAACAACAACAACAGGCCTGGTCTACACTGCAGTCAGCATCAATACTGAATCCATGACATCAGAATCTTGAGTCATAAGAGCTGCCAGGCAAGTGCACAGCTCAACTACCATATGTGGTTAGAAATGACCATGGTCCAGCATTTTATCCACGATAATGTCCAACACGGAATTCACTGTAGACCAGGCCATAGCCTGCTATACATCAGTGTTTTGACCACATCATCAGTTTGTACAACTATGCATTGTAATATCACCAAATTACCGATTACAATACTGTATGTTCTATGTATTACCCAGGATAAGATGCTCCAACACCCCCAAAATGGGAATGGTTCTAAGTGCAGTTGGTTGAGCATGTTGTATGTCGGGATGACCTGTATCTAATATTTATCTGATACATACAGAGTATGGAGGATGAATTGGAAAGGAACGACATACAGTTGAGGGTGAAACTCACATAGAAAATTATTTGTACAACCTTGTTTCCACTAGATTTAAATGTGTTCTGAGAGATGAGGGGTGGGAAGTACTAAAGATACGAACACAAACCACTTACAGCTGTCCACGCACTTCTTCTGCACCGGGCACACAGCCATCCGTCACAGACCTCGTGAGAACGAATACCATAACAACCTGAAAAATAAGAGTTTCGACCCATGCATCAGGCCTGTTACATCTTTAAAGTACTACACATCTCATCACTCAGCAGAGAGACCCAAGAAAGCTGCCTACCATATTGATTTTGACACCTACTTTATGGTTCAAAACATAGCAAGACTGTCCGTTTAGCTCATATGCCACTTACCTAATGGAACACGGTACAAGGGATTGCAAGAGGTTGCGTCTTAATAGTTATGAATGCACACAACAGTTGTTATACAAAGGGTAATGCTTGAACAGGAAATAACAAACGTATTAAACTGTGAAATCTTGTCATGTATCTGTGGCAAAACAAATTTTAGAATACGATGCAATTCAGGGAGCAGAGGTTTATGAAATCTAGAGCTAATCCTAATCTTTAACATTGTATTTTTAAAACAGTTTAAAGTTACATTTCAAAAATTAAGTTTAATTAGCTTTACTTTCTGTAAGAGAAGCAAAGGATTTATAATCTATGGGGAGTGATGAAGGAATACTGTGCATTAAACTTTGACTTGCCTGCCCCAAAATAGCTACCTAAGGAAATAACAGAGAAGACAAGTCTATGCAGCCATATCTGGTACCAGGAGGCGCTTGGCATCTGACTTCCTAAAATACGAGGCTTTTATTAAATGACAAATTTTGTAAATCAACTTGCTGTAACATTTTAAGTGGGAATAGCCAATAACGTAAGTGTAATTACCCAAAGAAAAGCCAATCATCATTAACCAACACCGTGGAAGAGTTGACGTATGTTTATGAAATATTGTGGCTAAATTAAAGAAAAGTTAGCTTGTTCGGGAGTCGAGATTAAATATCAACTTCTTTATGTTTTGATGCTTTGTCTCATATATACATGAATAAATTATGAGGTGGCTTCCAAAAATTCAACGGAAAAAACTGAATTGAAAGACAATGGAATTGGTCAACAGTTTTTAAAGCCCCCTTGTATACATGCATGTGTATTTTAAATTGATATAAACAAGAGGGTTACTATAATTAGATTTCAATCACAATGTTTTCAAATTCCTTGAGAAAGCAGATAATATCAAATTAACGCATCACTAATAGAGAGGAAGGTTGTTTCAAAGACAATTACTTTGACTAGTAAGTGTCGCTGATTCAATGTTGACTCATAGTGACCCTGTTTAGGGTTTCCGAGAAGCAGCTGGTGGGTTTGAACTGCCGACCTTGTGGTTTTCTGTCCAGTGCTGATCCTACAGTGCCACACCAGGAGTCCCCAAACACCAGCAGGCTGCTATTGCTCTTGGGTAAACACTAAGGTCAACTCTACTCTGACTCGTAGCAACCCTACATGCCAAAGTGGGAGTGCTCAATGGGCTTTCCAAAGCTGTCAATCTTTACAGGAGCAAACCACCACATCTTTCTCTCTTGGAGCAGCTGGTGGGTTTGAACTGCTAACCTTGAGGTTAGCAAGCAAACGCTTAACACATCATGCCAGCATGGCTCCCTAGGGTAAACACAGCAATAGCCATATAATAAACTCTGCAAATTCCATGAACAGAGACAGACCATGTGTTAACAGGTTAACAGAAGAAGTTATCTGGTCAGAACAAGAATGCTAAAATGCTTTAAAAGCAACGGAGTCCTGGTGTGGCGCTGTGGGCTAGTGCGCTGGGCTGCAAAGTCGGTTTGAACCACAAGATCGGCGGTTCAGGTTCACCAACTGCCCCTCAGAAACCCTATACAAGGTCATTATGGGTCAGAATTGACTCAATGGCACTTAACAACAACAATGTAGCACATAACAGAACCAATCCCTGCTAGTCACTACAGAGGATTTATGGGGCAGGTGAATATAAGCTGTATTAATCACTTATTCAGTTAAGTACAAAATAAAAAATAAAATTAAACAGTAATAGAGCCAAACTCTCTCGGTTCTTGGGGGGAAGGGGGACATAATGGCTGCTCTCTCCTCACAGGAAATACAGGTTTCCTCCATAGTAGAGAATAATATTTGACTCAGTACAACAGCTATTGTCAGTAAAAATCACAAAGGGAAATAGTCATCAACCCACCTCAAAGATTCAACTGACGTTTTTTGGGGTTTTTTTTACAACTACAGATGAAATTACTTAAAATCCAAGCAGGTAAAAGGAGCCGGTCTAACTGGCACCGCTGTTACCTGGTGATGCTGCTCCTTCAGAATGGGTACTCAACCACTCAAAAGTCCATGTCTGGACTCCACACATCACCAACCAAACAAAAACCTACCTGCACACTACCCAAAATGGGAGGAAAAGGCATGATTATGCCTACTCATACTTTCGCTAGAAGAAATTTGAGAAAAGATGGTGTAACCAAAGGTCTCATGCAATAGGCCTGATACATTAAAGGGCGTAAGAGATAAAGACTGTCTGAAGGACAAAAAAGTCAGTAAATTACTGAATGATAAGTTCATTTACTTGCGTGAACCTGTACGTAGCACTTCGCACAGGAAATCAGGAGGCTCGTTCCATCTTCTTCGATGAAGGCACTGGGCGGAGAATATCCTACAGTTTCCTCACTATAAATAAAACACGTCTCCGGAATGAGTGGCTTAGTCTTGGTTCTCGAAGCAATTGCTTCAGCTGGTTTCGTGTCCTTTTCAGGATCATTTCCTTCACTGCTGCCGTCAGGCTGAAACACAGAACATTCATTCACACATGAGCTTGGACGAGAGCTTCGTGTTCATCCTGGTCAATCAAATCCACGAGCAGCTGACCCTTCCAGTTTCTGTTCTCTCTCCTGTCCTCCCTGACCCATCCATTGGTATTTAGCAATGCCATTTCTCAGGCTCCTGTCTGAGAACACCAGGATATTTTTGCATGTCTGTTTCTACAACAAAGTGCCGAGCTACTAAAATTCTGGTCTTTAGCAGCATTGAATCTGTTGATGAATGAGCTAGAGCCTCCTTACCTGTACTGGCTAAATACTGTTAGTATTCAGTACGAGGTTAGTATTCAGAACCAGGTAATATTCAATTGGCCTTCAGGGATTGAATATTACCTGGTTCCACTCGAAGGAGAGCTTTCAGAGACCCCAGCTCTCATGCATACAACAGAATCTCATCGCAGATTCAAAATGGTACCGAGGGAAAGAGCTAGTGCCTATTGCTAAATACAAAAAGACAATATTTCACATAAAATTGCCATCTCACCCCAAAATATATGAAATTTATGTTCAGTATTTAGTTAAAACTGTAGCAAATGAATTATCTATGTTCTCCAGAGGTCTTATATTAATTCATTGCTAAAACTCTTATAACTTTAACTTGTTGGTTTTTTGTTTTGTTTTGTTTTTTCCCTTCAATCACCAGAAAAATATAGAGGCAACAGATCTAAGTCTCAAAAAACTTCAGTTTCCACTACCTAAAAAGTCCAGGAATTTAGGTCTAAAGAGGAAAATGAGTAGGTTCTGTCATTCACCAACACCACATCCAAAGATACCCAGCGAGAAAATCACTCAGACTGCAAAGACGTCTGAACTGCAACATCGGCAGTTCAAGCTCACCAGCTGCTCCTTGGAAACCCTATACAGGGTCACTATGGGTCGGAATCGACTCGACACACTTAGCAACAACAACATAATTACAATGGCCTGAAAGATATTGTATTTTCAGATACAATGGGCCTATGTAAATAACGAATGCACACACAGAGGACATAGGAAACTAACCTATGAGGGCATTGTGTAGTTTGCAAAACCTATAACACGTGTTATTTGAATAAAAATATGGTATAAACACGTCACATATTTTCTTTCATGTTCTGAGAACAGTTGAACAGAATAATGTTCTACACAGATGTGCCATTGAATATATTTCTGGTTCTCATACGAACGTATAAACAATACACAACGTTCATATCATTATGATGCTGTTGCGAAGCACCGTTGAGTCGGTTCTAGCTCATACCGACACTGCATACAGTTTCCCAGGAGCAGCTGTGGGTCGGGTCGGAAGCACCCACTTTGTGGTTCACAGTCCAGTGCTACAGGTCCACATATTTTCTAACATGCTGTACCTCAAAATAGACCGTGTAGGACCACCACACTTGCCTCTATTAGTGCTGGTGTATGTGCGCTGAGATGCTATCAGTACCATGTATACAGACCAACAACAAGAACCACATCAAGTTTGGCTGACCAGTGACCATGAACTGGCCTAGTCACACCATATTGGCATGGTGTGTCCTCTGTCTGTTCCACAAAGAAAGACAAAAGACACTGGAAATGTGGTCTCAGAGTTAACATTTACAGTATTTGAGAGTGATGTTTTCAAACATAAAAATGAAAGGTGTGAGTACTCCCTTTGTAAATCTCTACTGTTTTTCAGCTTGATGCTCTGGGTTTTTTGCGGTGTGGTTTTTTTGGGTTGTTTTTTGTTTTTTGTTTTTTTTGGTGAAAGAGGTTACAAAAAATGTTGGAACTGTTGCCTTCTTGAAACAAGCAAAGGCATTCCGAAAGACAAAGTACTGTCTCCACAGCAGCACAAAGCACATGGAATTGTTTGTTTCCCTACAAAGGCTGGAGTATTGATGGCTTCTTTTGTTGTGTGTCTGCTAAGGCCAGGTGACCACTGGGTGTACGGGGACCCAGGAAGTGCTGACACCTCACAGCTCTCCACTCACCTTGTAGTAGGGCATGAGCAGAGTGCAGACAGCGCAGTGTGGGGGCAGTTTGGCCATGGCTGAATTGTATTCTTGCTCGGCTGCAAAGTTTGGAGGCTTCGTCTGCCAAAGGCGGACCAGAGGCTGAGCCCAAGCCTCCGTCTCTTCCACCTCCTCCTCAGTTGACGTCACCTCAAGTAACTCTTAAGAGAAAGAGCATGAAAACTCAGTGAGCAGGACTCCAAGAACAATGCCTCCAGCTATAGAAGAAGCAGACATTACTATAACGTGCCCAAAGCCAGCCAGCAAACATATGTAATTTGTCTTCCAAACAGAACCTGAGAGAAATAGAACAAAGAATTTACTTCTCATTCTCCTCAAGCTTCAGGGCTCAACAGTCCAATCCCATTGTGTATGGGGTCGCCACGAGTCAAGGGCTGATTTCAAAAATCCACTAAAAACAATCTGACTTTAAATGTAAACTGGCTCTACTCTGGTGGTAAAGTGCCCCTGAGTCTGTTTCAACTCATGAGACCCTCTGTTTAGGGTTTCCAAGGAACAACTGGTGGGTTTGAACCACCAACCTTGCTGTTGGCAGCCCAGTCCTTATCCTACAACACCATACTAGGACTCCAGGTCTAAGGCTTTAGTATAGACCACTATACAGACCAATCCACACTGAAAGTCTTACTGTAGGAGATGTAAGCAGCAAGTTAACCAGGGTTGGAGTCCTGGTGGCAATGTAAGATAGGCACAGCACTGCTAACTGCAAGGTAAGGTTAGCAGTTCAAGTCTACCAGTCACTCCACGGGAGAGAGGTGGTCTGTTCCCGTAAACACTGACAAGCCTTGGAAATGCCATACAGGGTCGCTCTGAGTCAGTCCAATTTGGGTTAGACACAGCCTCATAATTCTTCCTTCCTCCCCTACCACAAGTTTTTCTTTTACTTTGTTTTTTAATAATAACTATGAAAGTTACTTGTAAACTATACCATTGTGAGGATGCCACAGGACGTGGCAGTGTTCCATTCTGTGGTGCACAGGGTTGCTATGAATTAGAAACAACTCATCTGCACCTAGCAACATCAATAATAGCACAAAAGTCCTTTGTAGATGCTAAAGTGATGTATTATTTTAAATCCATCCAACTGTCTTATTCTCATTTGATCTGTTGGTTGGTGCTGCAATAATTTATTTGGGTAAAAAAAGAGATTCCATATCCTAAGACTCACTGTAGTCATTCAGACTTTAATTTAGCTTTACAAGTCAAAAATCTTGTCCTTCTGTAATTTCCTTATCGAATTCTTCATTCCTCTCCTGTGTCCAAGAAAACATGCTTCCCCTTGAAAGCAAGACAATGTCCAACCATAGACTTAAATATTACACAAAGCCTGTCTAATGCCTGTCCCACTTCTCTGGTATTCATATAACTGGAAACATCGAGCCTTTAGATAAACCAAGAAGTGCTCGGGATTTGTTTTGTTTCCTATGGGTCTGGTTTTTGCTTATTTTTATGGGGATGGGAGGGTGGGGTATAGGAGGACATGCCAGCCATCAACTCATCACATAGTTCCAAATGAAAACCCTTGTTTTCACCCACAAGAGCCTCTTTCTATTCCCTTTCCTGCTTCCTTATCATCGTACATTCATTCACCTGTGTTTTCAAAAAACAATAAAAACTTTCCATCTTCTGACAAACAGAAGAGGGAAATTATATCCCAATGCGGCTTTTCTTTGTTATATTTTTGATCTTTTGACATCGCCATGCCTAGGAATTCCAGTTGAGTAATGAAGCTCTAAACGCCTCACTATCATTTCCTTAGTGTACAATGACCTCACACCAGGACGCACTTTGTAACACGTTGTGGAATGGAAATAGACCATACTGTTTTACAGAGTATTAGAATTTGACAAAATCTAATTCATTCTCACAAGATCCTAGTGAAAGGAGAGGGCAGGGGGCAGGTATTTTTAACCCTACAGAGACATGGACGCTGTGGACATTTAATGAGTGCCAATGTTTTCATTACTGCTATCATTCCATCATTTGTGTGCAGATCAGCATGTCAACAATCTGAAGACTGCACAGAGCTAGGAGTTTCAAACTCAATGCCACAGTTTGCTATAGAACTATGCATGAAGGAAATACAAGATCCTAAATTATAGGTTCATCAAAGATTAGCAAACCCGGAAAAATGCTGACAGTCTTCAAATCACCTTCTTTGCTAGGGACAGTAAAACCTGTGAGAGCTGCAAGTCGGCCAGATGCTTTGTTTTCCCAAGTCTTGCAAGTTTTTGCACTTTTGGCAGGGCGTACTTTTAGCATTTTTCTATCACACTCTATGAAGGAGCTTCAAAAAAATGTATGGAAAAATTCCATCTTTTCATTATAATTTTCCATGAAATTCTGATGGTGGTTTAGGATTACTGCTGGACTGCTAACTGGCAAGGTCAGCAGTTCAAACCCACCAGCAGCTCGGGAGGAAAATGAAAATGTTCTGGTAAGCATTCAGAGTCTCAGAAACCCGTTACAGAAAGCTATGAGTCAGAAACTCAATGGTAGTGGATTCGGTTTCATTCTGTTCCTTGTGTTAGTGGAAAATATGTTACTTTTCTTCTCTGATAGGTTTCTGCCTGATACAGGTAGGTTCTGGCTTTCAGAAGTTTTACTGTGTATACTCAAGAAGGACAAAAGAGGAGCTAATATACTTGTAGGTAAAATTGTTGTTGTTGAGTCAAGTCTAGTCAGTTCCCACCCATAGTGACCCTTGTATGGGGTTTCCAAGGATCGAATGGTGAGCTTGAACTGTCAACCTCGTAGTTCAAATGGGTTTGCTGTCTGGTGCATTAACCCACAGAACTCCTATGAAATTGTTAAGTGCCATCAAGTCGGTTCCGACTCATAGCAACCTTACACACAACAGAATGAAACATTGCCCAGTCCTGTGCTATCCTCATAAACATTGCTAAGCTTCAATGTTTTGTTGTGAAGTGCCATCAAGTCGGTTCCGACTCATAGCGACCCTGTGCAGGGTGGTTTCCAAGGAGCATCTGGTGAATTTGAATCGCCGATCTTGCACTCTAACAAAACCTGCATTCCAGCGCATTATCCTGTGCTGCCGCAGAGGTACTGCCTGAGAGAGACTACATCATTCAGTCATGTGATGAAGAAAAGAAGTTCCCTAGAAAGTTGGGAGCTCAGAGAATCCCTGCAAAGTTTGAAGCTCTGAAGATGAAATCAGGTTAGCCTCAATTCGCTTGAGTATCTTAGGGCATTGAGAAAGTCTTGAACGATTTCGATTCAAGCTAGCTTGAGGGAACCTCGATTATTTACATACCAATTTATTTCTACAAATTAACAAAGTTTCCCCAGGTGAAGGGGAGGAGGGGCTACTACTGACAGAGATGGTGTAGATACACAGTATTTATTTTAATGATCAAATACTTATTTCTGGTTGCTTCCTAAACAAACCAATTTAAATTCTTTTAAGGAAAAGAAAAGTGTACATACAACTATATACAGCTTCTATAAGTAAAATGTCGATTTGAAACACACATGTGCACACACACACAAACACATACACAAGGGAGCTTCAAAATCTTCATGGAAAATTGGAACTGAAAGGTAATGAAAATTTTCCGTGAACATTGTGAAGCCCTCTCATAAAAGGCTTAAATCTAGGGCAAAAATCTTTAAGGGAAATGATATAATAGATGTATCCAAAAATATCTGAGCAAGTCTTTCTCTGTGGTCTGGAAAGCTGGTTATTAAATGATTCTGAGGTTGCCTGGGTACAGCTCTGACACACCTCTGCTGTGTCCACAGCGGTCACAGGGAAAACAGTACCAGTTCTGGAACTGAGATGGAATGAAACCAACGGTTCATTCAGGGAGCTCTGGTAGCATTGTGGTTACAAGTCAGGCTGCTAACCTCAAGGTCAGCAGTTTGAAACTAGCAGCCATTCTGAGGGAGAAAGAGGAGGCTTTCTGCTTCTGTAAAGGTCTGTAGCTTTGGAAACCCTATGCAGGGCCACTATGTGTAGGAACCAATTCCACAGCACACAACGGCCATCATCTACGACCCTAAACTTCAGGTTTATCATCAGCCTAATGATGCCACTATTGTTGTTTATCACTGAGTCTGTTCTGACTCATAACGACCCTGTATAGGGTTTCTGAAGGGTAGCTGGTTTGATGTGCTGACCTTGCAGTTAGTGGTCCAGTGCTTAACTTACAGCACCATACTTAAGCTTACATGAATTGTAGGGTTTTACACAGGTTGTGTGAGTAGCCAGCCATAAACCTACTACCTTATCATGCAGCATGTACTAGGTCCTAAGTAAGTGATGAGATTCCCCCAGTCTCCAGCATAACCTTTGCCACGATTACCCAGAAAACAGCTTGAGAAAAAAGCCAGACTACAAAGCCATTTGAACTGCAAGAGTAGCAGTTCAAGCTCACCAGCTGCTCCTTGGAAACCCTATACAGGGTCACTATGGGTCGGAACCGACTCGATGGTACTTAACAACAACAACAACAACAATTGGATAAGTATTTTTAAAAAGCCATTTTACCATCTCCTTAAGGGAGTGCTGTGGCTCCAGACAATAAGCATTGGACTGCAAACCAAAAGGTCTGTGGTTTGAGCCCGCCAGCCACCTGGTGGGAGAAAGCTGAGGCTTTCTGCTTCCTCATAGATTTAAAAGCTTGGAAACCCTATACAAGGTCACTGTATGTCAGAACCAACTAAATGGCACTTAACAACACACTAAACCCTGGAACCTAGGAACCAGAAAGGAAGAGATGCCTTTCCTAAAACCCATGACAAGGGTGCCCAGACGCCAACATCTAGAACACTGACAGCTCAGGACTGAATGATTGGGGTCAGTGATGAAGTGAAAAAAAGATGAGAACTACAAAGTACATTTATCATACAATGAAATTAAAATGTGAATACATAAAAGCTCACAAACTTTGCACATGTATTCTTCATCTTCAGAGCTGGTTTCAGACTTGAACTTCAGACTTGAACTATTGGCTAATTAGGTAACACTGACTCAGGCCAGTAGCTCCAGGAAAGAGAGGCTGAGGACAGTTTTAAGGAAATACAAAGCAATATATATCTTAAGATGAGTTGTATGAAATGGTAGGTTTTGTATGAAAAAAATAAATTGTCAAATATGGACAATCTCATCATTTGAACC